GTTTAATGTTAAAAAGTATAAATTCACACTATTTCGTTTGATCAAAAATTATCAAACCCGGTTAGTTTGCAATTTCAATCAGACATTACATTGCAAACTAAGTCATACTAACCGGGTTATTATCGGTAAGACGCCATACTAACCGGGTTATTATATTATCGGTAAGTATGATAATGTCTGATTAAAATTGCAAACTATTGATAAGACGTTAATTAGTCTTATAGGTACATCAATTCGTCGTCGTATTTCAGGTAAAATGTTCAAATATATAAATTTGTACTAACCCAAACCAATTGGGTCATTATCGGTAAGTTTGATAATGTCTGATCAAAATCGCAAACTATCAATACATTGGCTACCACATGAGTCACCAGTGATGCAGTTATACCGACAGGGATGTTTCACCCAATTTGCCCCCAATACGAGCTGCTAGTCGACGTTACTTTACGACAAATTGACTTCACGACGAATTGACGTATACATCTAATCAACGCTTCGACGAATTGACTTTACGATGAATTGACTTCACGACAAATTGGTGTACGACAGATCGATTTATGACGAATTGACGGTGACCCTCCAAAAACAACTCTTATTCATCAACCTTTGAACGCACCGACTGGATATTTAGTAATGCTAGGGTAAAGTGATTCTGACGGGTGCTGCTACTAAAAAAGTTAAGTAACTGAAAATCAACGGTGTCTAATTTTTTATCAGAGTGTGCATAATCTTTGTAAAACACCACTATCTATCTATATCCAGTCCTATAACATCCCTCACGGGACACTCCCATTAACAAAATCTGAGATCCTGCCACTAAGTGCCCGTGCTACTTTCGTCTTATCTCTATGTTTAATGGACAATGATAATCCATGATCTTTCTTGTTGTGACTTTTAGACATAGAATGTGCGATCTTCATTCTCGTAATCTATCCCCTCTTCCACGACGTACATATGTTAACATTAAACACAGCATCGGCCCATAATGTATTTGGTGTTAACATTTGTACCGTTCAGTTCTGGCTTCGAAATACCGCGCCCTGTACCGAAAAGAGTTGGGTAGTGAGTAGACTTATCGAATGTAATACCACAAGAGGTTTCAGGATTACCGGATAATACTTTTATCTGTCACGAAACGCGTGTCGTGGTGTTGCTGCTAACGCGTTGAGTGTCAGGTAAAAGTATTAGGTAATCCTGAAACATCGAGTGGTATTCAAAAGGTTATACAACGAATTAAACTTTAATGCTTTATTAATTTTTATTATTATTAATAACAATATTGCCACCAAGCGCGATAATCCCAAAAGGCTTATCACTTATTAAGCCTCTCGTGTCATATGGGAATAATGTACAGTGAGTTGTATAATCAGGACAAGTCTCGGCTGTACAGGCAAGTCCAGCAGGACAACCGCAATCCTTATGTCCTGGTTGAACGTATACGGACATAGATCAGTTATACTTTCTACCCCGGTGAGATACGCGATTCTGAACTTGTCGCTAGAAGTTTTCGGGGACCGGTGCTGGGCTTATTTCTTCGATAGTTGTTTTATTCTGGTTTTTCTTTCTCCAATGTAACAAGCTACCTGGTGCTAGTGGTCCCTCAACCACTATAATCTTGAGTGTGGTGTCTGAGATTACCGCTGGTTTAACCAAAAGATAAATACCGACTGTTAAGCTGCCACAGCTCAAGGAAAAACCTAGGAAAACCCGTTACAAATGTGACGCCCGAGCAGGGACCATTTTGCGCAGCAGCAACTGATCGTGAAGATTACGTCATCATCCGTCCCCCGTTTCACCGAGAGGGCATTTATTATGGTATCGACCGATGGGTTGACCGTTACATCGTGGTATACTTCTTCATGGATTCTTCAGAAGCAATGGCGCTGCTTGGTGTTACTATTTTAATAAGCCCCATAATTTGAAGCGTGTTGTGGCCGTCTATTGTGTAGACGTTGATATCTGCATTGTCTGCTGAATACTGAATAAGAGCACCAGTTTCAAATGATAGAATATCTGGTTGTGGATGGTAGACTGCAGCAACGTCATACGTTAATATTTCCCTATACGACGCGCTGAATCCAAGAGTTGACAAAATATCTAGAAAAGGTTAGATGTGGAGGATCGTGCACGTATCGTAGCCATAATAACATGACAAATAGCGGTACACTTACACTTAAGATGGACAGTTTTGCCTTTTCTGTTTTTCAGAAATAATTCTTCAATAAAGTAAAGCTCTATGGGATGTTTTCGTTAAGATTATGAAACATTCTACTGGGAGGAAGATAAGATTGACAATTAACAGTCATGAAACGAATGTCTTCTCTGATAATTTTGGTCACAGTTTGTAAAATTCGAAGGCGTTCTTTTGCCGGTTGAGATTTCTTATTTTCATACCAAACTTCACCTAAAATATCACTTTGAGTATCGCGAAAACAAATCATGGTGGAAAAAGGAATGTAGTTTTATTAGTTACAATAATCGAAAAACGTGGAAAATGAAAATGAAAAGAAAGTTAAGGAAAATTGGATGCTTGAAAATTTTGGTTTTGGGCGGGATTCGAACCCGCGTCCTCAGCATTGCTGGTGCTACACTCTAACCAACTAAGCCACCATGATCCTACAGATCTTTTCGATTGATTAGTGTTGTGAGAGGAAGTTGCGTGGTTCTCCGCTCATTGCCAAACTTCTAATTATACACTGATATTTCTTAGTTTTTTTTTTGTCTTTGTTTCTTCGTTGGCTTCTTCACCATAAAAAAAAACACAAAGTTTTTAAATCAAAAGATCCCAAGTTAGAGTTTGTTTTGCGAAGAAAATACTGAGATGTACCGGCAGCATCTTCATCTCGTCATATTTTAAATGACACTACTATGCTATCCTAGGACACCAACCTCCAATTCGAGGATTGATGCGGGTTTCCCTTACGACGAACTGGGTTTTTCGAAAAACTTATTTCGCGCCCGAAGGATTTAATCGTTGGCTCTCTCTTTTCTTTCTTCGTGTTCGTAAGCAGCTCGCACCAACAATACTAGGGGGGCTCGTCCACTGGCCGCCTAAAGCGATCTCGATAGTGAGGGGACCCACGCAAAGTATTGTCAGCCTAATACGCGATCCAAGTGCAGGGTAAGCAAGTCTCCACACTTCTGTCGAGAAAAATGAGGAGACTTTTGGATGCTACTATGTATACTCCTTGCGACAGTTTTTATGTACTGTTACCGAATCTGTATCTCTTAAACCTTCTGCATGTTCATCTTCTTTTTCCACACTTGCTTCTCTTAAAGCATAATGTATATCTATACCGCATTTTACAGTCACTGTAACACCTTTCAATAGCGATTGACTGGACTGCAAATAAAACAAGACTTATTCATCACGATGGCTAATTAAATCACAAAACAAAACGTCTGGACTTCTTGCCAAATAGATATGAACTGAATTACACAGAGTTCTGTGCTGACTTACATCGATTAAATGCGATTAACCGGTGGATCATAGTTGACAGATAACTAGTGAAGCAAATGTCATTTGGCAACCAATCGTTATTAAATGACGTTCATGACTTTTGACCTTGAATATCTGAAAGCGCAAGCTCAATATTGATGGGGACTTTTAAGATATTATTTTTTGAGGTAAAATAAAGGTGTAGATAAAATTTAGGCTCAGTCGGATTTTTTCAGCAGATGCGGTTTTTTTCGGCCTAATATAACTGGAGTACAAAGGTATGACACTAAACGGAATGATTCAGCCTTTATAGTGGGGTTTTTAGAAAAATCCCTTTAATTAAATACCTAATATCTACGCCACTGAATATCTGAAAAAAACTAATGTAAACTCTGTTTTTTTTTTAAAGATAATTCCCCAAGTCAAAAATTTAGTAACTATGTTGGCAGCACAAGCCTTTTCTACATTAAAAATTTGAAAGCATTGACAATTTTACATTGTATGCCAACATGTCATTTTGACTTTTATCTTTAAAAAAAAAAACACACTTTATATCTATTTGGTAGGAAATTTCTTCCTCTACAATTTTTCTCTCTTGCCTTTTTCACCTAAAATGCTTAGTTTTGGAGTTATCAAGAAAAATGTAAAAAAAGGTAGATTTCACTCCATTTGAGGGGTGGTTTTGGGGTGACGCTTCGGAGCTGGAGTTTCAGAGGGCATTTAGTACCTTAAACACAGTCTCTCACCAAATTTTAGCTTGTCTCTAATTTGTTGAATGTTACCCATATAAAAGGATGGATAGGCCCTGTACTACAAAATAAAAGTCCTTTTACTTCCTATATATATATATCCTGCTTTCACTAATCACTGCATGACCTGTCAAACGTCATTTTATTATGTTCATTAATGAAATTATTAAACAAACTCCTTTATTGTTCCAAAGTGGGACAGGACAAAGCAAACCATGAGATTAGTATATTCAACCACTGATTTAAGAGTCTGTATAGTTTCTTCCCTAACTGGACGTCCCTTCAATAAATGTGTCACACCAGCCATAACAAATAACATTATTCTTCTTATCGAAATTACTTGTATAATTAAGAATATCTCTCACCCACTCATTAGGAAAGGCATTCTGTTTAATGTTGATACAGAAAACTCACGATTTACACAATGATCCATATATTACAAATTATAAATTCTATTGCATATTGTAAAATAGGTAATAGAATCTTCACCTGTATGTTCCATTAAAATGAAATCATTTGGGACAAATATATTCCATTTCTCTCGTTCTTTTTTTCAATTCACTTTCGAGCTATGAAACAGTTCAAACTTCTCCAGTCAAAATGACACCAAACGCGAAGCACATCGAAAACTTTTTCTCAGTAAATCTTTGAAAATAGCGGGAACTTGATGAGATCGTTATCTGTTCGACGTTTAAACAGTGATGCCAAATTCATTTCTTCAGTAAGAGTTGGATATTGGATTCTCAAAAATCAATATGACTTCTGCTATTGATTCATTGAATTTATTATCTATTCAAAAATTGAGATTATTTTTGCAGATTCAAATTAAACAAAAATTGTGAAATTGTGACGCCGACAACGAAAGAGACGACATCGACGCCATTTATTTAATTATTTATTTTTTTAACACAAATTTGACAGTACAATGAAATTTTTTTTATTTTTTATTATTTTTTTTGAGTCTATATACTAAGTTACAGTTAAATCAGAAATCGTCTACAGAGATACAGACAGTCCAAGACAAGAAAAAAAAATTACATGCAAAAGTATAAACTAGAAGTTTTGCTTCAAACCTATGTAGTTGTCGGAGCAAAACTTCACACTCAAACCGGACAATATTATTTTAACTTAATTGAATGAAAGTTTTAACTAATTAGAATTATTGACTTAACGCCCAAAAGCTGCCCAATCACGACAGGCAACCAAACAAAAACAAGAAAAATAGAAAATTTATTACCTAAACTAGAATAATGAGATATTGGTTTGACTCTATAAGAAAAAGTAAAAAATATGCAAATTTCCCTATATAAGCTTATTTAAGATAAACAAAAATTATTGAGTCGAGCAAGAGATGATGGAACGATTATTCAAACTTCTATTTCAAGACTCGTCGATTTCAAAAAAAAATAATTGTTACTTAATTAGTTGGCGTGATTATAAAATGTGTACGTGTGTTTTTTTTTTTTTTTTTTTGACGTAAATTCAATTATTATTATTGACAGGAGGTTGTCTTCAGCAGGGGGGTAGGGGGAAATGTCGTCGCTCAGTCGTCCCCTTCTTCTTCTTCGGATTCGGCTTCTTGAAGCCAAGTTAGCCATTGGTTGACCTGAAAACAAACAAATTAATTATTAGTAATTTAATTCAAGTTTTTTTTGTAAAGGTAGCATTATGTGCGACTATAAAAACAATAATTAATTATAATGTCATAGGCTATAGGCCTAGAGTTGGGACAGTCATGCTCACCACTCTTATATAGAAGGACAATCGGGGTTATCAGCAAACAAGGACTTTGATATGAGGAAATTAGATGGCAAAAAAGTAATGGACCTAAAACTGATCCACTTAAAATTTGGTGTTCTGGGAAGTGGCTTCTCCAATACTTCCTCTAAAATTTCGTTTTTATAAAAAATCTTTAATGAACCCTAGAAGTCTACCTCTCACATCAAAATGCTTGAGTTTATAAAGCGATCTCCCAAAAGACATCTTGTCAAATGCCTTGTTATTAGTTGGTTGTCTCAAGTCATCTGCAAATGTCTACTTTTGTAACCTTGATAGAAGATTTGTAACTGTAGACCTACCAGGAAGAAAGTCATGCTGCGATGAATGAATGAAATCCTTTAGACGTGAGTTCGGCGGTAATAATTTTCTCCATACACTTACACAGTATAGAAGTGAGACTTATATAGGCTTGTAATTGACTTTAATATAACTTCCTTGATTTGGAAAAAATATCAAAGGTTTAAAAAAATAGTGACGTGCCATTTTTTTCTACTTTTACCAAAAAACCCTGTATATTTTTCTATTTTTGACCACCCTGTACATGCTTTTTCAAGTTTTAATAGTTTAATATTATTTTTTCAAGAAGCAGAAACTTTTATAAAGTATAATTTTTTTTCGTAAAATTGATAAGAAAAAAGTTTTTTATATGCTGCGAACTTAAGTGGACACACATATGACAAAACACAAATTGTCAATTTTAATACTACAACATCCAAGCGAATGGAACTGAGTCATGGAGTGCCACAGGGCTCTGTGTTGGGTCTTGGGTTGGGTAGATTCACAATGTTTGCAAACGATGCGACTACCGAAAAACAACTCAGTGCTGTTATTAATGGTGATGTTGTGGAAACAGCCAAACAATCGTATTTATTTTTTATGATCACAGTGGCAACGTTGCAAAAAAGCCCCCCGCCGTGAAAACTTTGCTGGCGCCGTACCAGGCTGTACTGCATTGATCCAGTCTGGTTGTTGTCGCTAGGGGAAAAAATGCATTCCTTATCTTTTTCACTTCGCAGTGTGATTTTAGCAGTGTGATTTTAGCAGTGTGGTTTCACTAGCAGTAAATAGTGCGTAAAAACGTCTAGCTCTATACAAGTTTGAACCTGCTCACTTTTCTCTAATTATTTAATTATTCTCTCTAGTTGCACCCTTGTGCAGTCTCTCTCTCTCGCTCTCTTAAATAAAAAGACTTATTTTTTTATCTCTCTGGCTGCTGGCTTGAAAACTCAAGTGATATAATATCGCGTAAAACATTGAGTTAATCACACTCCCCTTTTTTAAGGGCTCTCTAAAAATATAGAAACTCTCAACTCCCGAAGATTTCTATTAAGAATAAACTTTATCTTGTGCTCTCAACTAAAATATTAGCGTTCCGCTAATACTGACAATTATTGTTAAATTGACTATTGAGCACTTACAACTAGTGAATTTATACCGATTAGTGAATGTTCTCGAATAACTCAAATGCGACTTGTTAACTAACCTGTGAATAATTAAAAGTACTTGAATGTGGTTACAGTATGTCGATGTGAGGTTATGTGTACAACAACAACACATTTTTCTTAGTCCAAAATTTTTCGAGTTTTTTACGCAAAATATTACCTAAAAATTGTACTACTGGTTAGTTCTACATATAATCAGCCCCAGCAAACCTAAATTAAGGCAAAACCAAAATTTTTTATGAAGAAAATCAGTGCTGACGAGGCCTAATCTATAACATGGGTACCTGTTTCAAGTGCAGAAATTCTTGTGTTTACGTGGATGTTACCAAGGATAAATCCATTAAAGACCTCTTCGGTGGACCCTGTGACTTTTGCAGAAACATTTTCTGCAAGGATTGCTCAAAACTTACGTCCAGCGAAATTAGGGCGCTAATGACGCAATCGCGTGTAATTGTTTTTTTCTGCCAAGACTGCATGGCCAACATTAAACAGATAGGCAACATTCAAAAGGACTCTGAAGATATAAAACTAAAATTTACATGAAGGCAGGTATTCAAAATCTTCAGTCACAAGTGACCTCGGCGCCTAAATCCTACGCACAAGCACTAGCTAGCACCACTAGCACTTTGCAGAAGGATATTTCTGATATTAAAAACTCAGCAGAGTTTATTTCGCAGTGTTATGAAGATCAGAAAACAGAACTAGTTAAGGCCACTGAAACATTAAAGAAATATGACACCGAGAATAGTGCCCTAAAACAAAATATTAAAATGCTTGAAACCAAAATGTTTTTCTCTGAACAAAAAGAAAAGGAAAACAAAGTAATAATTTCTGGTCTGAAACAAGTAAGCACTGCAAATATCTCTGAAACAGTTAAAACTGTCTTTAGACGATTAAGTTTAGAATCACTCCAATATAAACAATGCTACAAACTGAATAACAAAGACAATTCTCCAATCCTAGTGGAGCTAAACAACAAGCAGGATAGAGCATCCCTATTCAAAAAACGCAAAGATATAGGCAAAATCTCAGCCGAGTCTTGTGGACTACATGGCGGCACAATATACTTCAATGAGGACCTTACAATGGAGAACCAAAAATTATTTAAACTTGCCCGAGATGCCAGAAAACAAAAACTTATTGGAGCCACCTACACATATCTGGGCTTGGTGTATGTGAAAAAGGATGCCAACTCGCCTGCTGTCAAGATATTAAGCGAGGACAACCTCAAAGAGCTGTACTAAACTTACCATGTTTGAAATACCTACGCCTAATATAGGATTGTACTTAATTATATAAAACTTTACCCATTTCTAAAATGGCTTCCTCAACATTGTCACTTAATGTGCAGAATATTCAAGGTTGTCGAACTAAACTAAAAGAGCTAAAACTGTCCTTCGATAACTGCTCTTTTGATGCTGCTTTTGTCACTGAATCATGGTTAAATGACAGCATATTGGACCATGAAATCGTCGACCTGAGGAGATACTCAATTTTTCGTCGGGACAGGATTACTACATGCTCCAAAAAAGAAGAAGGGGGTGGAGTTTTCATAACCGTTTTGAACAAATATAACCCGGTCGGTCTTCAGGAGTTTGGCAGTGATACTGAGGATGTTTGGGCCCTCTTGACTGTTGGTAATATCAAGGTTTACTTATGTTGTGTTTATCTACCACATGGTGATGACGTGAATTATGCCTGTTTTTTAACAAAATTAGGTTCGAACTTTAAAAAGATAAAAGATCACCCTGTAATCATTTGTGGCGATTTTAATTACTCGACAGTCGATTGGCTCGAGGAGAACGCTCATTTTGAGCCGTTTAATGTACCACCTAAGTATAGTGAGCTACTAGAAGCTTTTTCATTTAATGGCCTTACGCAATTTAATAATATTTACAACGCAAATAATAGGCTTTTAGATTTAGTATTCTGCAATAAGTTTTATATTAATAATTTAGTTCAATCTGACCATCCCCTGTTGCCCGAAAATATAAACCACCCATCCTTGGAGTTCTTGTTTGACTGTCCTCATGCCGAATTAAAAGAAAAATGCAAAAAGAAATACTTTAGAAACTTCAAACAAGCTAAATATACTGATATCAATAACGTGCTCAACTTGCAGGACTGGCCATCACTGCTAAACCCTAAAAATAATCTGGACATAAATGTCAAAATATTTTATAATACCTTAAACAAAATTATACAGGATAAAGTTCCTCTAAAAGGTATAAATAATGACTTTCCTCCCTACTTTTCTAAAGAAACAATCAAACTAATATTAAAGAAAAAAAAATTACACAAAAAATGGAAAGATAACAAAAATGTAAACTCCTATAATGCTTTTAAACTTCTCCGTTCACAAACAAAAAGATGCATTGGCACTGACTACCAGTCATATGTTTCTAACATAGAAAACGAAATACCTAATAATAGCAAAAAATTCTGGCAGTTTGTGTCAAATAAAGGATCAAATGGAGGGACTCCTAGGGAGATGAAGTTTGGTGACAGGGTGGCAGAGGATGGAGCTGGAGTCTGTAAGTTATTTTCGGATTTTTTTCGAAGCGTATATGTTGAAAAATCTCCTACAAAGAAAAAAATTGAAAAACACCGTCAAGACAAAAATAAGACACTTTCTAAGATTATACTGAGTGTAAATGAAGTACGGGGAGCTTTGCAAAGTTTGGATGAAAAAAAAGGGGCAGGTCCTGATGAGATCCCAACTTTCTTTGCAAAAATGTGCTCGCTTTCACTTTGCCTGCCATTGACAATGCTGTTTAATCAATCTCTTTCTTCTGGGATCTTTCCAGAAGTCTGGAAGGTCTCTGCCATAACTCCGATCTATAAAAATAGTCAAAAAAATGATGTGAAAAATTATAGACCTATCAGTAAACTGTGCACTTTTGCGAAGCTTTTTGAGAAAATGGTCTACCCTTATATTTTTAGTTTTGTCATAGGTGACATCATGCCACAACAATATGGCTTTTTACAAAGGAGGAGTCTAGAGTTAAACTTGATAGAATATTCTCAATACATTTATGAATCATTTGATGCTTTCTGTCAGGTGGACGTAATTTATACAGACTTCAGCAAAGCATTTGATAAAATTTGTCATAACATTATGATAGAGAGATTGGAGGAGGTGGGAATCTGCGGTGACCTCCTTAGATGGTTTAAATCATATTTACTTAAAAGATCAATGTTTGTTGCCCTTTTAGGGTTTACCTCTGAGAGATTTTCTCCATCTTCGGGGGTCCCGCAGGGCTCCCATCTTGGCCCCTTACTATTTGTGATCTATATTAATAATATTCAGTTGTGTTTTGAATCTTGCTTGTTTCTCGGTTACGCTGATGACCTAAAAATATTTCTTAGAATTAGTTCAATATCA